CCCCCCCCCCCCATAATAACGTCCAAATTTGTATATCAGTCATTTAAAAATGCAGATGTGCTTACGAGGTGAGCGCAGTTGGAACAATCGGGCCTACGGCTGACATAGATCAGGATTCGCATAAAGTTTTCATTCATTCGCTCGGAAATTTGTATGATAATCACGTTGTACAGTCTAAATATATCTTGTTATCCATCAGAAGTGCGGATGGACCGCGGAGCTGTTCGAACGAAAAGACATTTTTCATTATACTATTGCTTCCGTTAATTTCGAAGATTCCGTTGACAAATGAGAGAGACTTTCATGCCCTGTATGATATCTACGACAAGAATTAAGATCGATTGAAGAAAGATACGTGGTTCACGGGTTATTTTAAACTTGTTACTTTTTGGCTGAAATGATTTATTCGAGACGAGGAGAGGATGAAACGAGTACAATTTGTGAAATTCATCAAGTCACTTTGACAAACCCTTTCCCCGCAATACTATTAATAACGGTTATTCCTTGAGAGTTTATTGTACGAGATAATCATTGGAGAGTTGTTGAAAGTAGGAAATAATTATTGTTTTGTAACGAGTACGCCAAGATAAGTGTGAGTGTTCTGTAGAAGATATATAATTTGTGTCAGCACATTATGCGGAAGAAATTCCCATTCATGAAATATTCGTGAAAAGAAATGCTGTGAAAGAAGGGTCGAAAGTTCAGTTCGGTGCATAGATAGATTTTTAAAGTGTAATTCCATATAAAGAAATTTTAAAGATAAAATCTATCCAGTGAGTAGGTCGTCCATTTCAAACTTTCGTTGACGAATTTAAGCAACGTAGAACATGTTATTATCGTGTATTGCGTACATCGCTTGGAACGCTTTTTTTTTTTATCTTTAATAGAGCGTATAGTCACTTGATTTGGCATAAGATTGAAATTTTCTATCGAATTTTCTGGTATGTGCAATAAAAAAATATTTATTTATTTATTTTTATTGTTGAGTTACACACTCTGCTTAGAGTTTTCGACCCTCTACAATACCATTGATGTGTATTTCTTTTACATAATGTGCTGATGAAAATTTCCTCCATAGAATGCTAGTTCATTCGATTTGGTTCACTCGTTGCAATGGTTATTCAGTTTCAGCAATTTTCCGACAGTCACCATGTATGTATATCTTTATGTAATTTGTTAAATACGTTCTATATTGAAGCATTATAAAACGGACGTGTCAAAGAAGACATAGGTTTTGCGCAGTATCTTTTATTTTTAAAAAAGAAAAAAAACTTTGAAGGGAAGTGTGTGAGATGTTGGTCTACTATCGATAGACAATTATGTATTAATTTGATTCCTATACTTCTTAATTAATTAATTAATTAATAACCGTCTACCTAATTAATTAATTAGGAACCGTCATACCGATTATTTGTTACACATACATTGCACAATCTGGAGATATTCAGAAAAACTTATGATAATGACAATTTTTTTTCTTTTTTTAATTAAACGATATGACATTGGCGATATAAACGATAATTTGTTGTTTTTTATTTCGTGAGCGGTCAGCGAGTGAACAAGAACAACGTATTTATTTTCATAGTTACTTTCTTCCTCTTTCTCCCGTCACATTCTCCCCTCCCCCCCCCTTTTTTTTCTTTTCATTCCGCGATGGTCCGATCGAGTCGGGCGAAACGTCTGAATCCGTGATCAAAATTATATTTGTTAACTTCGGAATATATATACGTTACGAAAAATGATTACATATTTCAATAGTTTCACGATTGGTTTACACGATAATAAACTTATTTATGTGTTATCTCTCTTCGTTTCTGTATAATAGACTCACAAGCATGAGCGATATCACGCAAACTGTTCCTGTTCACACTAGGGTTGCAATTATGTGCCTCTATTTGGTGGACTTTGAAAAAAATTGACCAAGCTGACCATTACAGGTACCTCATGTATATAAGTGAGGTAGTTACAGACTTACGGAAGGCTTTAGACTCTTTTCTAATACCTCTTACAAAGTAGCGTACATCTATGATTTTGGAAAAAAAAAGAACTTACAGACAAATTTAACAGGGCATATATTATGAGTGTAACTGTTGATCCTGCTGAGTTTTTGTGTTTGTGATATATACTTTGCCCGATATATTAACAGATCCAAAAGAGAATATCTGCGCATTTACGACTTAATAGAACGCTGAAAAATCGTTTGACTTAGTGTAAGTGCAAAGTGAAGTGAAGTTAGTGAAGTTCTTAAATTATAAAATTTTGGGACGTGCTGCGCACACACACACACACACACACAGAAAAATATCTCATTTGCTTTCTCGTGTTTATCAACAGGGTAACCTAATTTGAAAAGCTAAATAAAAAGTGTTTGGTTTTGAGGGAGATATCTGGATATCTGGAAGATAATGACGGATATTCTGGTTACTATAGGTTTCGGAAGCATTGCAATTGTATTCAGAATTAAAGATTTCTTCACGGTGTACTCCTTACATTTTTAAACGACTTGTACACGTCTGGTTTCGATACGTTGAGATCTTTTTAAAACATGCACCTAGTAAATAACAAATAACAGTGACATTACATCGCAATGTTATAATTTCCCACTCTCAATAACGTAGCTATTGTGTACGTGCTTATATTGCATTTACATTATTGAGTTAAAAACGATAACATTGATGTAATGTTACTGTTATTTGGTGCCAGGTAGTTGTTGATAAAGTGTCAGAATTAATATCGGATATTTTTATACCCGGGTGCCCAAATCTACAACACGGATATTATTATTTCGATGTGTTCAAAACCAAATTCTTTTTAACGGAATCGTGTATTTTTCTCCACATAAAAATATTTCCAATCTGCGTATAAAAGTATCAAAGCAAGCTCGAGCGAAAAATAAATACTTCACCGAGATGTTTCTTTTATTTGATTTTGACATCCTCTCTAAAACCGTGAAAACGAAATATTTCGTAAAATATCGAGAGAATGTCAAAATAAAAGAAACGTTCCCTAAAAAAATACATGAAAACTAAATATTTTGTAAGATATTTACTTTTCATTGATCTTTTAACCCGACACTTTTATGCATGGAATGAAAAATAAATCAGAAGAAACGATAATACACAAATACACAATTTGGATGTTCCGATACCCGAGTAACGTCTCAAAAACTCGGATACTTGAGAAGTATAGCCGGATATCCGAAATTGACGTCATTAATAGTCATATACTTAAAAATCCTACTGCGTTGACTGCAGATTTAGATGCTTCACCTTATTGTGCACCGTTTTTGCTTCTTACTTGCCTTTTAAGTTCGTCACGACGAGCAACGTACGGGGGCGAAAGTGAATCCGTCATGCGTGTAAATATACATTGTATAATTCTTCTCCTTTTTTTTTCTAACACGCCGTTGCATTAAGAAATAATATAATTTGTATATGATCTGTAGTATATGTGCGCGCTCGAAACAGCGACTTTTGTTTCACATAGAATTAGTATATTTGTTACGGACTTAAGGAAGACCCCAGTGGTCGCGCCGAACTTTCGAAGTTTTTTCATGAAGACGAGAAGGCGTTTTCCAGATTTATATATATGTGACATGAACTTAAACAACCGCATCACGTAGCTGTGCTGTAATAATTATGAAAGCGGTTTTTATGCCGTCGGAAAATTACTGACAAGAAAAATCTGTAGAAGTGTCCTTCTCACGGATTTTCACGGCCTTTGGATATGTTGCGGAGCAAATAAAAATAAGAGACTTGTACTTTTTTTTTTTACATACGCCTTCTCACATGGTTAAGGGCTGAAGCAATCTCTTCTTTTTTTTTTTTCAAAGGAAATCCGGTATAATTAATTGTAAGCGAATATGGTCGAGCTGTTGCTTCGATTACTAAACACGCGAGAAAGTACAGGTAAAACAACAAACACGTGTCTCTTATTTTAACTACAACATTCTCTGCGACATTCGAGGCCCGTAAAAATTGTGGATACTTCCATATGGGTATTCTTGTGACACACACACACACAGTTCGTCAAGACACATGCACAAACATCAGAAGTCTCAACTGTCTTGAGCCATTGTGATATTAGTTTAAGAGAATATCGGATATATATATATGTATGAATTGATCTATATATATATATATAATTATAAGATTATATGATAGATATTTTTTTAATAACTTAAATAAGAGAGTCATATCACACGTAGACTCGATGCATTCAGCCTTTGATTAACATTAATTTAAAACGATGTTAACATACACTTTGGTCTTGCTCTATTAATCGTAATCGATAACTGATATATGCTTCGTACGTTATATAAATATACCCAGAAATAATATAATTTTATGTATATATATATAAAAAGTCTACCGAACATCACACACACAGACAAGACTTAATGCAAAAAAAATAGTTTTGTTTTATGTACAGTTTGACACTTCTTACGTTGTAAAATCAGTGTGCTCTGTTGCGTCTAGTACGGTTCTTTGAAACCCATCGCCATCAATAAAAGAATTAAATTGTTTTACACATACCTGCCTGTATGTATGTTATTTGTGCCATTAATTTTGGAAATTACAGACAAAAGAGTCGGTTAGTTGGGATTCTACCGAAAGTTCCCCAATTCACGATTTTGCGCACTTTTTTAATTAATATCGTCACTTTGTAAAATACGGTTTCATACGTCGCTTTCAAAATTAATGGCTTATTTTATGTGAAATCCTCTCAAATACCCAGTTACTTGTTACGAATTTGTCTTTGAAGAATCTTTAAAAAAAGAAAAAAATCTCCAAACGAGTTTATTATATGACAAATTCAAAATCAATTTTTCCTTTACAATATGAAAGTTGAAGTTCTATTCGTCGAATTATTTGCGTGAAGAATTAACAGAAATCGATGAGTAAATTTTCTCAAGGCCGCCACGCACACTGACGAGACTATCTTCAACAAATGAGTTACCTACAAATATATCAAGAGATATCTTGAGAAATACAGAGAGACATGTTGCGAATTCGTACATTCATAATTGTATGAAATATTTTATTTCAATATTTCGCTCATTTTTATACATCTAAATCGGTAATACGAATATTAATATGAGGGAGACGATTGCACGTGAAACTAATGTCGTATTCGTTAATAACTTATGATTTTATAAAATGGCAGCCATATTTTTGTGTGATTACGATGTGTGTGTGTGTGTGTGTGTGTGCGCGCCCGTGTTATGTGTGTGTGTGTGTAATATTAAGATAAAATGGACAAGAGATCGTCAGAGATTTTCTCAGTCGCGTAATCACCTCACGGCTCCGATCATATTACGATTTCGAACGTCCTCACGTCGCCTATATATACGATCTCCCCCGTCTTTCTATTTTCCGTTAGCGCAACTACTTCAATGATAAAAAAGAAAAACAAAATTGGAGGAGTAAACGTGTACATCTACGTGAAGGTGGAGGAAAATCTACATAGAGAATCACCGCTTCCTATCCCGCGGGAAAGTCGTTGGGAAATGCTTAGAATGTTTGGAATCCGGTACATGCTGGTGTTATTATCGTGCAAGCGTGTATTATTGTTTTCAAAGGCCCTACCAAGCTAACGTCGCTATGGACGCGCGCCGAAACTGCTCTCGACAAAAAAGACCTCGCAACGGAAGTGTGTACGTATCTTCAGCAATGAAAACTGAGGCTAAGCTTTGAGACGCACTGCATAGTTATATTTGCTTAGATACTCCGAGGAAGATTTCCTTAGCTGCGAGCCGGGATAAAGCTTCATTCTTTGGGAGACCTTCACGGATCACTGGATAATCAATCTCGCTTTGCAAGCTCGTGTTTAGGTATCGTCTACGTCCGATCGATACGCGAGTCCCGTCGATTCCCTATCCCACGGAATGCCACAATCTGCTGAGGAGCACTCAGGCGGAGGAGGAATACTGCTTTTTGAGCCTGTGGAATTCTATCTCTTTCTGCAAGTACTCCTTGACAAAGGGATGCTCCAAGTGGGAGTCTTTCAGCTGGCTCAGGTAACGGTTCGCCACTTCCGGCGGTTTCCCCATGTGCTGGGACAGAACGATCATGTTGATCAACGTGTCCGGATTATTGCTGTCCTTATCGAGCGCCTCCTGCAAGGCGGTCTCGGCCTCTTCGTATTTAGCTTGTCCGATGAAGCAAGTAGCCTGCCCGTTCAGCAACATGCTCGTGCTCGAATGCTTGTCGATCATCTCCTGAAATATTTCCCATAATCGATTATCGTTGGAACACGTGAGAGTTGTGTTTTAGTTCTAGCGAGAAGCTAAATGGGGAAATGCGAGAGGAAAGGGATAGCGTGCAAGTCTATATATTATAAAATTGATCGGCATTCCTCTCACTTGGAAGATGTAATAGGCGTCCTGCAGTTTGTCGCCGCCACTGGTTATGTTCAACCACGCTTGAGCGAGTTGGGTCAAAGTGGCGTCGTCGTCCTTCTCCTGCATCGCTTTGAGCTCTTTGCGGGCCAAATCCAGCCTGTCCATTTTAAGATATATTTGCAACGTCAGCGCCATACATTCCAAGTGGTCCACATCGTGCAGTATTCTGAGCGCGCCTTCCAGATTCTTCTCGTGGTAGTAAATGGTCGCGGCTACGATCAGGAAATTGTGATTGTCTAAATTCGAGTGACTGGCCGCTTTGTCCAGCTCGGCCACTATAGCCTCCCGATGATGAGGATTGGCAAAGTAGTCGGCTAAGGTCTTCAACGGCTGCAAGTCCGGAGGGGACGAGTTGTTGATCTCATCTAACACTACGCGAAACTTCCTCTGCGCTATATATGCGCGGTAAAGGAATACGTTTCGCTCCATGGCTACTTCTGGCGAGGATGGCTGGAAAAAGTAAAATTAAGTGGAAATTTGGCCGTTATTTTTAGAAAAATTATTTTCACAGATCTGAAATAATCATATTATTATATATACGTGTGTGTGTGTGTGTGTGTTTTGTATGTAAAAAGGATATTTAAAAAAACGAATACCATATCACATTTCTTCTAAATTGAGAAATTTTAGAATAAACATCGTTCGTTCATAATTACACATGATTATTTTACAAAATTGGAGTAATCTCAGAGAAACGTCAATGTTGCAACGTGCAAGAGCGTCTGCTAAGAGGGACAGACGGTTGCTGCTTGCGTCAAAAATCTAAACGAAGTAATATGCGGCATTATGTAGCAAATGTAATTAACGAGAAATTCACCTTGATCTTCTGCGCCTCGTTGATGCATTGTTGATAATTACCGATGTAAAAATGATTTCTTACGTCGAACAGCTCATCGATATCCTGCTGCTGACGTGCCATCTTGTCACTTTTGATCACTTCGGCGCTAGTCTAGTTTCTTATTTTTCCTTCTAATGGCCCTCGCTAACCAGTACGATGGGCGATATGCGATACGCGACGTGCAATATCCAATGAGCGTGTTGCTTTACCAGAAGACCAAACGCTCACTGGATATCGCGCGTGTCGCATGTCACGTCGCGCATCACGCTGGTCTAAAGCCCGGTTTCACCAACGCAAGTTAATCAAATCGGCCGATTAAATTCAACTCTTCCGTTGGAACTATCCGATCGCATCGTTGTCAGATAGAATATCCGTGTCACATTTACGGATTAGGATTGGGATTAAATTGAAATTTGACCAATCAGAGTAAGTTTAACTAAAGAGTTTAATGAACTTTGTTCTGATTCGTTGAATTTTAATCCAATCACACTATGATTGCGATTTGGATTACGATTGAGTTACTTATTAATTCTTTGAACGCAACATTTTACTCACTTCTACTTACATTCGTAATCTTTGAAATGCGTTCTTAATATGCAAAAAAAAGTCGGAGTGTTTTACAGAATCAAATATTCATTACGTAAGGATTTTTTTGCATTACTATGCATGTCGAATTTAAACTATCGACATTCTACAGAAGTCAATTACGACTATCGATTAGGGGAGTTTCCGTAACGAATACTAGATGGCAGTGTTCAGTTCAGACTACTTTGTCAAGGAACGTAACCCGGTGTTTCTCAATAGTACTCATCTGAACGTACTTTGCATATATATAACTTTCGCAGGTAACGTGAATCAGAAGTTCCCTCGAATGACACCACGGGGCTAAATCCGGAGTCCTTTAGTGACTCTTTCGCCGCTCTGAGGAAGGTCCCTGGATCTGTGGCAGGAAGTGTCGTAGCGTAAGTACTATCAGCCTTGTAACCGTTTCGCGAACTTAAGAGAGAGGAAGCTTCGGCTGATCTTTTATCGCGATGTTGGTGCAAGAGTGTTGGTCAAAGCAAAGTAATGTGTAACAACGCGTTTTTCTCTCCGCCTCCGTCGTTCTCGGAGGTGGAGGAAAGTTACGTTGAACTGAACAGGGCCTATCGTACGAGGAAACTTCTTTTTTGCTCGAGGCAGTAAATAGCCACATACGATGACAGTCAAGTTGCAGTGCAAACTTTTGCTTCGGCAAACTTCGCGATGTACCCAGGGTATCCAGTGAGAAAAGTTCCCCCTTGAAAATGATCAAACAATAAGTTCTCTTGTCGGGTGTGCGAATAATGTGTTGCGAAATTGATCGAGAAGAAATACCAACGAATCGCATCAACTGTCAACGAATGAAGTAAGTGTTTCGATCGTCGGTGTGTATAACGTTATTGAGAATAATTCGATTCATTCAGGTTGATGCGTATATGGGCGAAAGAGATAAGATATATTCCAAATTTCTTTATTTGAGAAATAATTGTACATTTTCCTCTTAACTGATATTGTATGGTGAAATTTCTTTAAACGTGTTGTATATTTGTAGAAGATATCAGTATATATATATATCATTTTGCTATAGGTTATGATAAGGTGCTTCTGACAAAATGTTTTCGATAAGATTCATAAAAAAGTCCAGCGCAGCACTAAGTCCGCTCAAGCAGCAGTATAAGCTGTATTGTACATCAAGAAATACAGTACAATCTACAGTCGCTACTTCAGTTGGAAGTTTGCGATTCTACAGTAACAGCCTGTCCAAATGTTGGAATTGTGACTACATGTACAAATCGGAGCTGTTCTGCTCGAAGTGTAAAGTATTGCAGGAACTGCCGCAGAATTTGAATTACTTCGACATCATGGGAATTAAGAAAGATTATAATGTGATAAACGAAGATATTCATAGAAAATATAGGGAATTGCAAAAAATGCTGCATCCTGATAAGTTTGGCAACAAATCTGAGGTAAGTATACAACAAGCAAAGTGTTAACAGTGTGCTAGCAAATTGGTAGCAAATTTTACAACAAAACTACAACCATCTGTAACTATATCAAACTGGTACTTTGTTAATATAATAGAGTCTGCTGACATGATTTGATGGTAAATTGACAGCAGAAACCGATGAGATCCTGCTGCCAAACTGTGCGCAGCAGAGTCTGCTTGAGTTCTGCTGCCAATCTGCTGGCATAGCATGTCAATAAGCTCTGTCAGATTTTTGTAAAAATTTATGGCAGGCTCTGTTCAGAATCTGCCTGTATAGGTTTGAGTATCTGACAAAATAATTATATATATTGTTTATGATATTTTTTATTACATTTCTCAATTTATGATTACATAAGATTTACTTTTCATATCTGTAAGTAAAATTTCTTTTAATTATCAATAGAAGGAAAAACAAATCTCAGAAGATGTATCGTCCCTAGTAAACAAGGCTTATAGCACTTTGGCACATCCATTAAAAAGGGGGTTGTATATGTTACAATTAAAGGGTATATCTATACCAGAAGATACTATCAATTTGGACTTAGAATTTCTTATGGAAATTATGGAACGCAATGAGGAGATAGAAAGTGTGATTGAAGACAAAGACAAAGTCTTGGAACTGGCTAAGAAATCCAAAGAAGAGCTCGATATTCTGTCAAGGTAGTTTCCATTTTCAATAACTTTGATACATGTTGAATGTTCCCTTAATTAATACTAATTTCTTTATATTTTTCTTAGACAAGTAGCGGAAGCATTTTGTAAGGAAGATATTAAAACGGCAGCGAAGATCTTAACAAAAATGAAATATTATGACAGTATAAATAACAGGTTAAAGAAATTGAAGCATGATTTAGGTATAGTAGAGTAAGTATATTGCAAAAAAAATGTAAATCTGTTATAAAATATTTATGAGGCATCACTGACTTTGAGAAATAAGAGAATATTCCCATGTATTACATGTATATATGTAGATTTATACATATATCTTAGATCATGTATGTATGTATATACATCATTTAATTTCTTATTATTTAATGACGGAAAGGATAAAAAAGATAATGTGAAAGTACAATATGACAAATATTGATATATATATAATAAATATATATTTTCACATTTATGTATTATCTATTTTCCATTGTTCCAACCACTGACATATTCTTTTTACATTATCTGCCAATTGATCCATGTTATTGCTCATCAATTCATGTACAATTTCTTCCCTGTAGGATGTTCTTGCCTCTTCGAGAATCGTTTGGAAAATCTCACAATCTATGTTGTCTTCCAATTTCTTGCCGCTATAACCTCTTTCCTTAAGACGGTCGTATAAGATTGTATTGTCCGTTCTGAGCACAAATACGATGTCGAACCATCTTTCGGGGAAGAATTCGGCACCGTGATAATCCACAATCTTTCCCCCTTCGTTCATAAGATTCTCCATTCCATCCAGCAACTAAGAAGAACAATAAAAAAAAATGTACTCAACAGCCATGTGCATTTACACATATGGTGACGAAGAAACTATTACCTTTTCCTCATCCAACACTCTACATTGGTACACTTCGTCGTACTCTTCCAAACATTCATTTTCTATAGCTAATTTACTAACGTCCAACCATACCAATCCACTTTTTTCCGATAACATACGAGACATCAGACTTTTGCCCACACCAGGTGTGCCTGGAAAAAAATGTATTGATTATCCCAAGAAAATATTTGAAATTTACGCAAAATATAACGCGTATTTAAATTATATATAATAATGTTGTTATTATTATTATTATTATGTATACCCGTTATCAAAATATTTGGCGCACTTCTCTGCATATTTATCATTCCTTAATGATACAAATCACAATTAGGTTTTGGAGGCATCAATAGCTCTCTCTTTCTCTCTCAACATATAGCTACGGTCACTTAAAAAGCCTAATCTACAATGGACAATAGGAGTATGTTTATAAGAAGAATAAGAAATTGACCAATCATATGCGACTGTAAGGAGAATAATCGACTATGATTGATTAATTTTTTACTTTTACTCTAATAAGTTTTAATTCACTCACTGCACTAACAGCACAATTTAAAGAATATAGTTATTCATATGTCACAGTTCAGTTCTATTCAGTTGTAGCTGTACCGACCAGATGTTCAACTTTTCGATTATCTCTCTGGGTATGTTCTTTAATTCATAATAGATGCACCCAGAGGTTTATTCACGTTGATTACACTTTTGACACTCTTGCATCTAATGCCCGTTGCACACTGAATGCGATGAGCGATATCTAATGATAGCTTTTCTTTAGAGAGGCCAATATGCAACGGGCGTCAGATGTAAAAGTGTCAAAAGTGCAATCAACACGAACAGACTTAAGATTTTACTTTTTAAAGTTACTAGCTAGGAACATTATTATTACTAGAAAACACATTCTCCTATTGGCTATCGAATCGTCGTATGTTCGAAATTGGACCCAGTATTAATCCTTCAGTATTATTAAAGGAGCGTAAGTTAATCATAATTTGTTTAAGTTTGCAAAAAGTAATATCAAACTTTTCCTGTTTTCTAAGCTCAAAGTTTGGCTTGGAGGACGGAAATTTTCATCGAACGAAGAGGTTATCGCATCCGTAAACGATTATTTTGCAAAGCAAGCTAACTCATCTTTAAAAGGGTTGTTAACCCTTATCGGTCGTAAGTCACCTCTCACGTGACAACAATACTTCGTCGCTGCGGTCGTACGCACGTAGGAAGTGACAAGTTCGCATATTTACCGAAATCAGCTGCAACCTAGTGAGAATCACGCATAAAAAGCTGGGGTCCAATGAGGGTTAAAAAGGTTGGAGCATCGCTGAAAAAAGTATTCCGACTTAAAAGGAAACTGAAAAATAAAACTGCATTTGACCGTAAAAATACTTGTTTTTATGTTAGGCTCAAAACTTTTCAGACTATCCTCGTAGACCGACACTAATATAATCTATCTTTATCTTTTAATATGTAAAGGAAGGTAAATAAAAGCAACATGGTTGTACTTTCATCGTTTATATATGTTCTATACGGAATAGAACGAGCCCGCATATTTTATGTGCGCATTATTTGTTAATCTTCGTCTGTATATGTATAATATATTACAATTCATCGACCGATTATCGAGACTATGAGACGCAAGTTATATTAAAAATATTCTCCCTCGAGGATCTCTCATCTTGTGCCCAATTAAAGGGCGTTTGTTCTTTCTTTGTTTCATTTAAAGGGCATTTACGCGTCCCCGTGAAATCTCTCGAATGGAATCCGGTTCGACACCGGAATATGGTGTCAATAACTCCGATAATACGCCTACATATCGGAGAAGTCTTACTAATGTTATAAAAGTATAAAACGTAGTCGCTTTTTTGCTCTACTCGCTGTCCCGTCCACACGACGCTCACGAATATCGGATTCGCGTTATACGATAATAAATAACGGCTTCTTTATATAAATACTGATGTACAAATTATCTAGCTTGACTTATGGCGACTTACGAGCAATTAAACTATATATGGCAGTGGTCTCGCTACATACTCGTGAAAATGTTATCGTCTAACATGCGTTATACGTATGTATGTATGTGTGTAAGACGAACAAATTTTTCGCACCATCATTTATCTATCGGGCTGGGATCGACGCGCACGGTCCCTCTCTCTTTCTGTCACGAATTATACGACATTTCGCTTAACAAAACGACCTACGGTTTAGCATCTTTTGGCTTTGTTTTAAGTCTTACGTCTCAACACATTGCGGACCGCATATGTGATTGTATTTTACTCAAAATTAAAATATACAGTTTTAGTGTATACGTACTTGTAATGCTTCTTTAATACAATATTGCAACGTTATCCCTTATAAAGGGACATCAAGAGACAGAATATACAGGTGAAGTTTCTTCCCTGAAAATGTGAATCGACAATATTTCTATTTCCCACAAAGACATCTACGTCTTACATCCACGTCGAATCCACGTAAGGAAGTGGATTCCACGGATGTCCTCATAGGATACTCGTCAATGCTGCAAGAAGCTAAAGACGTCGTCGATTCGCGTCCTCGGCCCGCGATGTGTTAAGAACCCGCCCACATGCGAATATGGCACGTTAATCTCAGTGCGATCGCGAACACCCGGTACGATTCCTCGAGCAGTCTTTGGAACTAAACGCCGAACGCAGAGCTTCGTCCTCATCCTTCGTCGCGAGTTGTCATTGAACCGGACAGGAGCTCAGATGGATGTTGTGCAGCTCAGCCATGTCCGTCCAGTCCCGCCTCTCCCCTCCTATCATCACGTTCCTAATGCACCCGTTGAAGTGATCCCGTGTTATCAGCGAGCCTTTTTGAGCGGACGCTAAAAGAGCAACAAATCGTTATCGTACATTGCGAAGGTTCCTCTCTGTTACTGTTATTTGTGAAAATTCACGTCAAATTCTATTCCTCGCTACAAAGTTCACTCGATTATTATTTGAACCTTCGCGCTTGTAATAGTTTATATCAATTAGCTCTTCGTCAATTTTTCCATCAGTTTTTTGCGCAGTATATAAACAAGAAATGGACATAATTCTTAGCTGTGGCGAACGTTTTTTTGCGGCTTTTCACATGTATCTCCTAATTCTATGATTTTACTTGTGTAAATAATTAAAACACATAAAGTCAATGTTCTTTCAGCTCCCGAAACTCAGAGCAGACGAGTACAAAGGATTAGTTAATGACAGAAACATGTTCTTCTTGTTTACCTGGTATACCGCCTATGTACAACGGCCCGTAGGTAGTGGAGTCGGCGAAGTGATAATTCGCTTTTGTGGGCAGGCCGTACTTCTGATCCAGCTCGTCCACCTTGAGCGCCAGCTCCTCGTCATTGTACACCGCCTGAATCCTGTGCCACCGATTGTCGCAGATCGCGTACGGACTGGCGAACCGTTGCTCCACGTACAACGGATTGTTGTCGCCCAGATCACCCGACATGATTACCCTGCCGTTGTTGAGCTCCAGCGCCAAGGAGGGCGAGCCGTCGGGCGCGCTGATCGACAGCAGCACGCCGGACAATTCCGACGTTCTGAACTCCAGCTGGAGCTCCAGCACGGCACCCAGCTCGAAATTCTCCTCTGGGAGACAGAGCAACACTTCCATAGAGACATGAATGTACAACAATAAATACTGAAAAGGTAATATTAAAGACAAAAGAATACCTCAAAAGTCTGGACATCTCCGACTTTTTGGTAAAAACTGATGTCTAATTTGTCAGTAGAATATTTTTTTTCTATGAAGGGTGTCTACAATATATTTAATTTCATAAAAATTAATTTTCTTCATTATTTTATTGTTATTTATCTGTTATCTTAGAATAACACTTAGTTACAAATAGAGTTCCTTTATTTAGCAATTCTAAATATTATCATTTTTTATCAAGTAAGAGGCTAGCCCAATCAGTAAGGAGTTGGAGATGTCCTCTTAAACGTGGTCTACACTGGGCAGTAGGTGTATCTTTATAAAAAGTAAGACATTAACCAATCGTAGTCGACTATTCCCCTTACATTTGAATACGATTGGTCAATTTCTTATTATTTATTTGAGGGATTCTAGGTTGAGGGTCTTTAATATTACTGCGTCGGTAATACTAATTACGATCACCGCGACTTACGGTAAATGGCGTACGCCTCGTCTTGGAAATATGCGCCGCTCTCGACGCTCGGGAAGCATTGGCCGACGTTGAAAGCTCTGCTGGTGGAGCCTACCATATCGTAAACGTTCCCGTTGACTCGCAAGCCTCTGATGCAGCCCTTCAGAGTCTCCAGTTTGGTGACCACGTTATCCGGCAGAGGCGTCCCGTTCTCCGGAAGACCTCCTATGTACATCATAGACGCCAGGCCGGCTCTCCTCGGCAGTTTGAGAGTGCGCGGTGTCTGGGTGTCCACCAACAGAGTGAGCTTCCTTTCTTCGCGACTGAGGACGACATGGTGCCAATTGCCGTCGTTGAACGGTGTCTTGAACAGCATCTCTCTGTGCTGCTTACCCTTTAGCAATAGAAGAAGCTGCCCGTCTTGAATAACCACCATCAGATAGTTCCTTAGTCTGAGACCCTATTAAATGCACATTATTATTAACAATGTAACTCTGTATATTAATAAGCATACGGAGAAAATTCTATAATAATTTATAGTAAATATTAGTACAGAATTTTGCAGCCAAGAAATACATTGGTTTTCTCTCTCAATTTATTATCTCCCTGTGTTCCGTGCGCATTGTTTGCAATTTAGAAACTGTGAAAAAATCTACTGTTAAAAAATTTATTATGTTCTTTAACAAGGTAAACGTTATTGATGAACTTAATTTGTTATTCCTGCAGTATTAAACATGGTAGAATTAAAAAAATGTATAGGAACAAGAAACTAACATTCTCTCCGTGTATAATAACATATATTACAATATATATATATTATAATTATTAAAAATAAATGTTGGCAAAATCAAGCTATAATATAAGCAACGTAATTAGAATATAACAATATTTCGATGAAACTAGTTACGCTATAGCTGCGCGATTTTAATTGATGAAATAATTGTTTCATCAGACAAGGTCAAGATTTGATGGCGATATAGTTTCCTTACCGGGGTGATGAAAAGCAGCCCGTTAGGATAATACGTCCTGAAATCGAATTCGATCACGTAGTCTTTCTCCCAAAACTTCTTGAAGTTGAGATAGAGCTGCGTGTGACTGTGCGGTTTATCGCCGAATTTTAGAGCGCCCGGTTCTAACGAGTAATACGGCACCTTTTGGCACCCCTCGGGTTGCGTAGACATTCCCCGGGACAGCGATGCCGAGGGCACGTAGCTCGGCGGGTCTTTCCCCATGCTCGGCCCGGAGCGGCCGATCAGAGCGTGATCGAAGTTAATGGCGTCGTCGAATCGGAGGATTCTGAAATAGGAATACAGATTTTTAAATAATGTGATTTTATTTAATGCGATAGATCGATGAGTGTCATTTTATGGACATATTCCTTAACACAGGAGTCTTAATATTAAAAATCTCAATTTCGACTAAGTATTAAATATTTTTTCTCCGGAACTTACTCGTCATTGACAATCACATCCTTGATAGCACCGTACAACGGCGTGTTGGTAGTGACCATTTTGGTGTTATTGATGAGAGCTGGCAGTCCGCCGAAGAACAGCCCTTTGTTTGCGCTCGGAGCTTTGATGGCTGCGCTGGTGGCTAATCTCCCTGTGCTCTGATACGCGTCGTCGATCCTCAGTTCCACCTCTTTCCTTCTCTTAATGACGGTGACCGAGTGATATCGGCCGTCGTTGAAAGTGCTGTTCGACTGCAGAACCAGCTCGCCCTGGCCGGCGTTCAGACGCACCTGCACTTGCCCGTTGACGATGCATACGGAATAATAGTTATTCTGAAAAACAATTGGTCGGACATTTTTCTGTTAATCGTACGAGATAAAGCTTTTCCTTTTATTATTGTCTTTACATTAGCTGCGTTCAGCAGAGAGAGATAAGCTCAGTGAGTGCTTGCTTAGCAATTATCGTCTGTGACTGGAATATTTTTCCTAGATTCCTGATAGATCCAGAAGAATGTACCAATCAGGATCAGAATAATCATTAAGCGCTCACTAAGTTATTTTCTCCGCTGAACGCAGGCACTGTTTTTAACGAATTTAATTGATGCGTTGTCTTCATTGTTCTTTATTTTGTCTTTGTTTGAAATCACACGATGTTATATTAAGTATGTGCGAAAGTTTTAGTCTTTACATTCGCAATTTTTCGCTTTATTTTCATATAAACGAAAGACTGAAACTCTTTTGCACACATCTGATACTTACATTTTCTCCTTGGCCTGTGTTGCCGACACTTGGCCTGTCCTCGTTACCCTCGAATGTGGAAAGAAGCAGCATGGCTGCTTCTTGCGGGGTCCTGAAGGAGAAGCTTAGAACGGAGTGTTTCTTCCGTAAGGTGTACGCGGGATGCTCCAGGTAGCCGTCCCCGTAAAATCCGACTATCTTCAATGGCTACGTATAGAGATACATAATGATATATTGGCAAAGTTTGCACTTAAGGCTCCTGTTTCCTCGCTGCAGCCATCTTGCTGCTTATTGACGTCAAAAGCGAGAAAATGTGTGCTCAAAATTCTCGCATAATAAAAGGATATGTCCTTAAAATGATACTTGTATATATAATTTGATTGAATATGTACGAATATATTTTCAAAATATTCCGCTTTCTCGCGTTCTCGCTTTCAACATCATCAAAGAAGGTGACTGCCATGCGAAATCAGAACCCTTAACAGTGAAATATATGACGATAACGTCTCTTTCGAAGAGAGAAGTGGAAAGAAATCTCCCCGAGAAGACGAACGCTCACCTTTCTACGACAACTGGGCTCCACCCCGTAATACAGTTCCGCCATCGGATCGTAACCTTGTTGTACCACAAGATTGGACATACAGCCGAGGAACGACACCTGGGAAGGTAACACCTCGTCGGCGCGGAAACTCGGCGGCAAGCCGCCGATGTAATACTTGGCCTGCGCCAAATTAGGGAGGTCCTCTTTCCTAGGCTGAGGCGTGGGCGCGCCGATCCGCTTGTCGTCAGAGTCGATGCTTAGACTGCACTTCTCGATGTGCTTTTGCACTTGATACTGCCTGCCGGCGTCTACCTTTGTCCAGTTGCCAGTGTTATACTTGTACGTTGAGGACATCTCTATACTGACGTTCCCGCCGTAGCCGACGTCGAGGATCACCCTACCTTCCCGCAAGTAGATCATGATATGCTGGTTCTATGAATTTAAAATTAAATCAATCAATTGTTGTAGAAATTAATATTCTAAGAATTCGAAGATAATAATAATAATAAGGTTTTCGGTGAATATGGAGTCTGCTACGATTTTCTGTATGCTTTGATGGTGAATTCGCCATCTTCCGCAAGCGTAGATAACGACGATAATTACATAAATGATAAACAATTCGTTTCTATCGAGCGTAATAAAGTCAAACTTGACTGACAAATCGAGCCGAACTCTTAGACCGTTATTCTGGATTATCAAGACCGAGGAGAATTCAATAGATTCTTACGTTATCCGGGTTGATCGCCAAGAACAGCAACGCGTTCTCGTCGTATGTTCGAAAACTGAAGGACACTCCGAACATATACTTGCTGTACGGAGCGGACGAGACTCTGTTCCTCACGGCGTAACCTTTGCCATTGAAACTGTAAGCTATATCGTCTCTGGCGGCTTCCACTCTGTAACATGAACAGTTAACGAAATAAAAATAACAGTTGAGAAACAACGAAAGAGAGTGTCCACGTATACATAGTGAAACAATAAATTGGCATCATCTTGAATATCTTCGGAAAATAAAAAAATGTTTCATTAACCACTAGATATAAAGATGAAAAGAGATTTACATTTACAGAAGGCGCGTTCGAAGTGACGACCATTGGTATCAGTGCAATTTCTGTTAGATAAATTTTTCTCCTCATATTTCGAAGATATTAAAGATAACAATAGCTGTTATCTCGTCCTATATAGATTCTTCTTTAAATTTTATCGAATAATTCTTTTAATAATCTTTACGAACGATTTTACCCTTCCACGCAGGCTGCACAGGCCATATCTGGCGCGGTCGAGACAAAATTCCAGAGGCCGATCTGCTTTCCATCGAAGATCACCTGATGTACACAACCGGCGAGGCCGTTCGGCGCAATCAGTTCCGTCGGCTTCTTCTGCGACTTGGGAATACCTCCTATCCACACTCGGTCCGTAGGCAGAATGTCGAAACGACCATACTCGGAGTTGGTGGAATTAACGACAGGCAAATACTTGCCGGATGTGGATATTTGCTTGCGCACGCTCAGCTTACCTACATGTCGAGTTCTGAGGTTGTCGAAAAACATCAATTGTTATATATATACAAATGCTCTTGATAAATCGATGTAATAACATCCGCAATTATGCATGAATCGCTTGCCAAAATATCGCGAAAAATATATGTAAGTTTGATCATTTTATAATAAATATATAATTTTATAATACATGTATTAATTTTGTTTTTATATTAGTATAAATTGTGTACATATGATACTTCATTGTTCTCACTCAATATCTCTATAAATAGTTAATAAAATTATTCCTCTATTTCAGTTGTTAAAACTGTCACACATGTGTAATTGACGTGGCAGTCTAAAGTCGGCATTCATAGTCAGGTCTTATATATAAGATCTAACTATGAATACGGTCTATGTGTTAATTTCATCGACATCGATCTCGCGTTAAAATGTGCGTCGCTCACCTCTCAGCCTCGATCCGATACCAGAACGTGTCGTTCTGCGGATCTCCGCTTTCGAGGACTTCGGGATGCGTCAGGAGGCCCGTACCGCCGCCGACGTTCCACAAAAACCGTACTCTCCTGTCGACTATCTCTAGAGCGATGAAGTCATCCTGAAACGAAATTAGAATATCAGAAAATGCAGCTTACGCGATTTCTTATCGACTCCCGCAGAACATACGTTTATTCCACTGGGCAAGTAAAACAGGGAACCGTCTTTGCGCCCGGCCGGAAGCGCGAATGTCATCACGATCGACGAGGTCGCCGAAGGTTGCAGTGTCTCCGGTCTGTAGGAACGGATGCATTGCTTGTCCTGCGCCGATTTCAGAGAGACGCGTATCTGTAAGAAGTGAAGAGCATATGTGAAAAGATGCAGATTTTAGATGATCAGATTTTAATGATCCCACAATAAGGAAGCAACATCTATCCTTACCCCGTCGGCGGTATTACGGGCCTCCGCGATCTTATCTTTGAGATTCTGTAGCTTCGTAGCTAACGTGTCGTTCCACTTGTCGAAGACAGCCTTCCGCTTCATCGCAGCGTTCGACAAGCTGATCAACTTCGCGTCGGCTTTCTTAATATTGCTCAGTGCCTCTGTCACTAAAGCACATACAGATATTTTTATGAAATGAATTTTATTTTTGAAATGATGTGCCGACTTTCAAAACGTCTCTAATGGATTTGTAGCTATAGCCATCTACACTGAGCTCTTAAAACTAACCGAAACATTTAATATATATTTAAATGTCCGTTAAAAAAACATTTCGTATATAATTATGTATAAATATACATAACTGAGCATAATTATATTAAATTATGAAAAAAACACACAACATCTATGATATTCTTATAATTACATAAATTTTATTATATATATGTATATGTATATATTAATAAAATTTATATAAATCTGAAATGTGTATGTGGATGCGTGTGTGTAAATCAATTTCAACAGAGGACCCTACGTTTCTCGCTGGCCAAGCTGATCTTCGAGTCGCCTTCGCGTTTTAGTTCGTTCAACTTTGGCCTCAGCCTGTCGGCGATCCCCTGATTGTAATCATCGATCAATCGTTGCTTGTTCCTAATCGATTCCGTCACTTCGTCGTTCTCGTTCAAAATATTCTGCACATCCTCGTGGACTGAACGAAGAGAATAGTCATTAATCGCCATCTGAGTCCTCCCTGACTCGACAAACTTACTTTCGGCCTTCCCAATCGCGACTTACACTTTTTGCTGCTGCCCTGAAGCTCCCGCAGTTTTACGTTGATCTGATTGTCTCTGATCCCAGTGCTGTTCAACGTGTCTTTCAACGTGTACACGGCTCGTTTCTGCGCCTCTACTTCAGCGCTCGCTTTCTTGACTAGTTTATTATGCTCTTTCGCCGTTTCCCACTGGCGAGAGGTTTTGGAAAATGCCTCCTTGGCTTCATCCAACAGCGACTTTCGTTCCGAAGGAGGGAAGACCTGAAGAAAAGATTCACGTTACATTCAACAATATTCGGAAATCTCAAAAACTCCCTGGAAATTACCATGGAATCTATCAATGAGAATGACGTTAATCTTCGAAGTTTTTAGATCGGTGAATGCTCGGAAAATTCCTCACCTTCGCGTACACCTCCTCGATAGCCGTCTTAGCCGCCAGTGCGGTGACCTTCGCCGCTTTCAGACCATCGACGATGTTCTTGTAGGCTTGACTGGCCTTCAAAGGGCTGGCTGCGATGTCCCGCGTCTCGGCGAACAAGCTGCTCGGCATAAACGACGAAGTTACTCTTCGTCGAGTCTCTCAACGAACGTGTCGATCGTATCGTTATTATTATTATTATTATTGCTTACCTCACGTACTGGTCGGCGTAATTCGATAGATTCTTCGCGTGCGTCACCGCTGGTATCACATACTGCTGGTTGTACTCGTAATTCAACCGGTATAGAATTTCCTCCCGCATGGTCAGCTTCTCCTTCCAATGCGCCAGTTTGTCTCGCAAGCTCGGGAGATCCTGGGCATTGCGATTAACACGTTTGCTATCAGCGCCACACATGTGTGACCTGCCGATCTCTCACGAGAGACCAAGGTCGCACATTTGTGACAGTGATCATTTTTCTTCTTACGTCTACATTGATAAACTAAGTCTCCATCTTACATTTATATCAGACAACATTGCAACAATAATGATTATGCAAATATTACATGACAAAATATATTACATAATATATGATTACATAAAAAAATACGATTACTTTTCTACATGAACAAATTATGTTTTATATTTATATAAAAAAAAATTATACAATGATTCAGCAAATATTACATAATATAAAAATGCCATTTAATATATATGATCATAAAAAAAATACGTAATCGATCAAAAAAACCAAAGTTCTAAGAACCAAATTTGTCTCATAAAAACCAAAAATTCTGTTTCCTTTAACTGAAAAGCGTTCAGTTCGTTCATTGTCATGTGAATTCGACCGATCTTTTTTCTTCGTGCGTGGAAACAAACAAAACTCACATTGGCGACATAGATACCTGAACATTGTTTTCAGCGTCGACGAGGAAGCCACGAGCCTGGTCCACGAGATCCTCCCCTTCGGCGACTGACTTATTCGTCTCGTCGCGCAGCGTGCCGATACGAATGCACTGCTGTTTGGTTTCGACTAACGTCCTGTTGATACTGTTGTACAGGCCGTCATAGCTGAACAACGTCTCCATTGTGTCCTCCACTATCGTTCTCACGTCTTTTAACTTCACCTCGTAATCTTCTGCGTCGTCCTGGGCGGCCGCTAATGGCTCGGTCGCGTCCTCAAGCGAGTTTAGCCACGCCACGTACTCGGCAACCTCGCTAGTGAATGAATAAAATGTTGCTTATTGACTTTAGGAATGTATAAAAAAAGATGTATACTTCACATTCGGAATTTTGTTTTCCGAGCTCATGAATTTAATCTCGAGCTACTAAGATGAAGGCACTCACTCGAGGAAGTCCTCGACTTCCATGGTTCTCTTGCTGATGTCGACGGACTTGAGATAACTCAGGATCATCTTGCCGGTTTTCAAGGCCTTCTTGATACCAATCCTCTTATTGTCGCTACTGTACTGATTGAGCTGTGAGATCGTATCTGGGGAAAAACAAACGACGAACCGCTCTAGAAAGACTTACATTGCAATGAGATCATTTCTTTAATTAATTAATTTTATTTATTTATCTTATATTGTTTATTATTGTCATATTTCATTTCTCGTTATTTTCTGTCTGCCCATCTGTGATAACATCTGTTACACATAATAAAGGATATTTCCCTATGAATAAATATAATATTTTAATAATTTCAATAATAATAACAATTTTTATATTTATAGAAACCCCTTTAGTATATAAGAATTATAGAAAGATCATAAATAACAGACACGAATCAGAATTATGAAAATAGGGAGCATGTGATCAATAAGTATACAATAGAACATAGATGAAAAATTAAATTGGGTGAATAAATAAGTAAAAATTAAATTATAAAGAATAGAGGATTTAATTATTATTCTTATTCTTATTATTATATTACCATTATTATTATTAAAACGACATATCTCGAATTACGTTACCTTTGATATTCCTGTGCAGCTTCTCGATCTCAATCTTCGAGCTGAAGATGTTGTTCTTCAAATCGCTGCTTCTGGTTTTCAGTGTATCGGCGTGTCTCGCATGAATGTTCGCCTGGGAAATAATATTCTCGTGGATATCATTGGACAATTTACAAAATAGATACCTGGAAAAGAAAGTCTTGGCGTATCCAACGATTACACTGTCACTCACGTTTCTCAGCATAGCCTCGACATCCTTCATGAGTTTCATGTGCTGGTGCCAGGGCACATTCTTCATTCTCTGTTGCAGGCGATCTCGCAGTTCCAATTCCCCGAGATACTCGGTAGCGTTGGCATTGACGTACGCCAATTCGTCCCACGGAGGCAGAATGCTGCCGTCCACTATGTGACTCGTGCCCCCCGCCAGCTTTGCGGATAACGTCTCGACGGTGTCGAGCAGAATTCCCGTGCAATTGTCGTCGCACGCTGGTAAAGAGAAAAAGAAAACAGGAGAAAAAATTCGACCGATGAAAAAAACCATATACTTGTCGACTATTAAGGTAAATGAAATATACATTTATTTTTTCTTTCTTCTTAGAAATCATTTTAGGAGTATTTGTTAACTTTAACAATAATAAATTAATCAAAACACGATCTACATACATGAAACATTGAGAAAAGATTGAACGTACCAAAGCTGTACGTCATAAATCATAATTATAAGAACATCTGGAACAGATTTTCCGATATTCTTCGCATTAAACATTACCCTTCTAATGGTATCGTCGCGAAGTATCGTCAACAAGCTCAAAGATATCTAACGTCTTCGTCACGCCCGCAGCACGTGTGATGTTACCGCGAACGCGCGCGCTATAAATTATTCTCGCGTTCGCACGATCATCCCGCGAAGTAACGTGTGCGCGAAGTGACGTTCAAACATCGTTTATGTTAAGAATGCGCCAGTCCGCTCTGTTGCATGAATAAACTTACTAGTGCAAACGTCGTTTATGTAAACATGACGATACGCCGTGCACTCGGAGCAATCCCTACCCGTGGAACCGGGCCGGCATTTACACTGACCCGTCTCACCGTCGCAGGCGTCGCTCAAACTTCCTGCCAAGTTGCAATTGCACGGGACGCACTTGCCGTCCGGAAGATTGGGTGAGCCGTAATAGCCGTAGGAGCAGTACTCGCATTTTCTGCCGGTGTAACCTGCGGCCGACAGGCAGATGGGGATGAACGAAAGATGAAAGGATAAGAGCAGAATGCAGAATCACCTTTTGCGAACTGCCGCTCGGAATTCGTCGCGCGAGCGAACGAAATCTGTCGCTCCGTTCCAGGACGATATTTCTCTCAAGGACTTTCCGAAATTTCGATTTTTTTCTAAAGATTTCTCGACTTCCCGACATTTTCGAACAAGTTTCGCATAGTCCTCGAAATTTCTGAATACCTTATAACTTTAGTGCTGATATTTTTCAAGTACGATACATGCATATTTTTTATACGAATTCTTGGTAGCGAGCGCTGTTAACAAGCCTTCTTTCGGTTGACCATTTTTTGCAAAGTGTTTACATTTTTTTCAATGTTGTTTATAAAAGTTCTTTCGGCAAATTGCACACTTTTTCGTAACGATTTTCTGTAATCCATTTTTCGGTCTCACGTACCTGGCTTGCAGTGACAAATGGGTTCGTTGCCCGTGCGGATCACACAGGTGCTCGAGAAACTCTTGTCGACCTGCGGACACGGGCACGGCCTGCAGCCGCCGAATTCCGGGTGGCCGTAGAAACTGTCCGCGCAAACGTCGCACCGTGCGCCGGTCGTGTACTCCCGGCAGTTCTGTTTGCAAAATCCCCAGGTCGACGGTGAGAGAAGTTATTTCGCGCGCGACAGCACCGTCTTCCCTGCTAAACGCGCTCTCCTCTCCTTAAAGCGCTTCCTACGCGCCATTATCTCACCGCGCATAGTGCGTCACGCATGGGAAAAACGTTCGAGTAATGCTTACCAAGCAATATCCCGTCTCCCTGTCGCACACGTCTGATCTGCCGCTGCACTGGCAGCGTCTGGCTTGCCCGACGAGATCGAGCACGCCGGTGGACGTGGCGGTGGTGTTCATGTGCCACCTGTAGTAGCCGATGCTCGGATCCTGACAGGAAGTGCCGTTGTATTCCGCTGGGCACTCGCAGATCTCCACTCCGATCGCCAGCGACGGCGAATGCGTGGGCGTGAGGACGGCGGCGTCCAGAGACGCCTCCAGAAGTCTGAATAAGACGTGAAAGTTGAACGATAAGCTGCTTCTACAGAGATCTTTCTTAGTTTCGTCAATTTTCTCACATAAGCGGGACTAAGGCCTGTTCTACAATACGTCGTATGTCGCGTTACTCGTCGTATGTCAGAACCAACTTTCGAAAAAGAAATTCTCTCGTTCGACCATCGGCTGCGTTCCGACAGCGACATACAACGATATCGTAGAACAGGCCTGATCGGAACTCTCGATCGAAAGGGATTTTTCATTCGAGTTCGCGTCATTTGAGAAAATTAATCAAGCGTAGAAGATGACGAAAGAGAAGGACGTGTCACTTTCGTGTAATTTTCGCGCGACTTAGACGACTCAATTGTCGAATTATGATGAGGAAACGCACGTAGTTCTTGTGAATTCGATGTTATCCGAAGCTTTGACGAGGATGTGCTGCAGGTTTTGCAACGCCACCATCAGCACCTCCCTGGAGACTTTGTAATCTGGCCTGTTCTGCAATTGCCACAGCGACTCGTGGAGCCTGAGAGTGAGTCAGAGACGTAAGCTTTCTACTTTAGCGTGACGATAAGTCGCGGAAAAGGATACTCGACTCGAATCTTTAAACATTACCTGATTTCGTAGCGATTTTCATCGCTCACTGGTGCGCGCAGATAATACTCCAGTACGATCTTACTGTTCCCTTGCATCTGCACCAGAGGATACCGGAGACTCGTTCTCAGGGGTATCCCACCTTCCGTTGAAACGTTGAAGCGGAGGAATCCTCCGTACGAGACAACCTTTGAAAGAAAACGGTCTCGACACCAGCAAATCTCACGTGCTTTTCACGACAAGTAGTTTGATTAAGAAAAGAAAAGTCTTAAAGTAATCTTAAGATTGAGATAAACTTAAATCAAAATTTTCTTTTTCAAACAAAAATTTTAAATTGGAGTGAACATTGCCTTAAAAAGAAGAAGAAAAAAGGAAGTCTCATTAAGTCTTATAATGTCTGAAAGCAATTTCATGAAAGAATTACCTTGTCGCCCAGGAATGAATCCGGCAGTTTCCAGTATAGAGGATAATTGTAGTAGAGATTCGAGGATAACGTGACGTCACCATCGGACCCAGGGATCACGGAGAGGCCGTTTGTCACGTTCAAGCCGCCGTTCACCGTCGGCAGCACATTCGTGGCGCCGAAGTTCGTAATCTATTTAACAATCGAACGATGAGAAATATGTGCTCAACGTTACAATTACGAACGTCCGTCGACTTTCAGCAAAAATCAAAACGGATCTTACCGTGATGTCGTGGACCGTCTCGTTGATGTAGAGAACACGGGGATGCGTGAGTCTACGTTGACCCCAGCTGAGCCTAGCTTGGCGGCATAAAGCGCTTCTTCCGAAGCAGAAGCACTCGGTGCATCCTCTCGCGTTACTCGTCGCGAGACCAAACGTGCCCTCTTTACATTGATCGCACTGTCGCCCGACGACCAGTTCCTTGAGAATGATTATTGAAGATGATGAACTGCGTGGATATGTGCGTTCAAACCCAAAAAAGGTGTGCAGACGCGGAAAAGTGTCATCGAAGTCAATGGCGACTACTTCGTATACACTCAAATAAAACTATTTTTTAACAAAGTTCCAATCGCTTCAATTTTGACCTAAGAATCCGCCACGAACTTTTTCCGGCATCTATTATTTCTCGTTTTCCTTCTCATTCCGACGAGTCATTGTCATTTCTCACCTTGCATGGACACTGTCCCTTGTCGTCGCACTCGCAGACACCATCCCCGCACTGTGTGATGCCGGCCACATTGCAGCTGCACGGCCGGCATCTGGGATAACCGTAGTAACCCTTGGTGCACCTCTCGCACCTTAGCCCGTCGTAGCCGATTCTGCAAGGACATTGGCCCTGGTGGTCACATTGCGGTCGCGTGGTGCCGAGAGTGCACGCGCAGGGCCTGCAGCCGACGCGTGGCACCAGATTCCAGGCGCCGGGCCTGCACCGATCACAATGCTCGCCATAGGTCAGGCTGGGACAGACGCAGCGACCGGTGTCAGGGTCACACACGTGACCGGGTCGCACGCAGGGGTCGCATACTGTGAAGTGACGTATCAAAGTTTCTCAGTGTTTCGTTTGCTCGGTTGCTGTTCATTGCAAGTAGCGAGTAAGGGCGCGCCTGGTCTCGACGATTAACCGAAATCACTGGATTGGTGTATTTGATCGTACAAAGAATACATTTCTCAATAGTGAAATTGACGTTTTCATACTTTGAGCTAGAATATCTCGGCTTGCAGAACACGCAAAGTAACGGTTACGAAACGACTTGGCGAAACACTCACGCTGACATCCGTTCGCCGAGAATCCGTAGTATCCAGACAGACAAGTGTCGCAGATCGTACCGCCTACGCCTGGCTTGCAGTAGCATTGTCCTGTGTTGCTGTGGCAGGACACGTTGCGGGATCCCATAAGATCGCAACTGCAAGACGCGCAGCCCGTTCCCGATGCTAATCCCCAGTAACCAATCTGGGGGGATAAGTTGCATTAAATTCAATCATCAGGAGTGTTCCGATCTGAATCGCGAGGATAAACGCAAAGGCGCGGCCCACGAACAGCCGTGACATTTTTCTTTCTCTTTCTCCCTTTTTTCTTGCCGTAATTGCTCATTAAACACGTTCATTATCAGCGTCGCACATGTGTGACGCATTATGTAAAATACTCAATTTGTCTAATTTACATTTACATTTATGTGCGCATAAATGCGAAAACGTGTTTGTTAACCACATTGTCGACTGATTAGATAGATTACCCTTTCCTGCGTGTTAAAAGAGCACCGACAACTTATTCTACGACTTACCTTGCACTCGTTGCACTGCCTGCCGACGACCTGCGGTTTGCATTGACATTGACCCGAGACGATGTCGCAGGCGGAGCTGCTGGAGCCCATGTTGTTGCAGCCGCATCCTGCAATCATACGAATATCGTAGAATATCGCTCTCAGTGGAAATTTCGAAAATATTCGATAATTTGTCGATAATATTCAAATGCCGCAGCAGGCGAGCGACGCACAGGCGACTCGCTCGTCTCGCGGAAATTGATAAATTATATATGGTAGGATCGAGCGTAAAGGCTGCCTCGTATCGATTTCCTATTAACGTAGTGGCGAGCGAACAATTTGCGCTCGTTTTGAACGAGATCTCACCCCAACAAATTTCGAGAGCGCACCACGACGGTATTCCCCGTTCATTCCCGCGTGTAATTACACTCAATAGTGCGCGGTGGTTAACCCGATGCCGAGAGTTTCAGCGTCCTCACAGATGCGAAGCGACGACTACGACGACGGGAGACGAGGTGTTTGACAGTACCGTAATTATAATGCGTCTCGTCGCGCGTCCGCGCGCTTAACGTATTAGTTTAACGAGCGGCGACGTTATTATGCGCGAAATTATCTGCTAACGTCCTGATTCGCGCGGCCCGCAAACGATTTGAATAATCAACGTGCCTCGCGCGCACAGCGGCACAGATTTATGTCATCTAATAATGCGCTAAGTGTTTCCCGCGAACGTGCGTGTCGGGAGCTGTCATACGTGGCACGTATTAATTTTGCGCACTAAGTTACACATATACACACGTGTCGTCCTACGCGTCGGAAAAATAGCACGCTGGTAGCGCGATAACGAGCCACTTCACTCGGATCGCACGATTATATCAACTTCGGCTTGTTCCGCGTGTCTCTCTTTCACTTGGCGGTGTGAAATATTTCGGTCAAAGATTAACCGTTACTTGATTTTCATTCATTTGACTTTGAGGTAGAAATTTCGCGATTAAATTCTCGCTAGACTCCTTGATTACGATCGAAAGGATACACGATAAATGTACACGTCAATTTGCACAATCGATTGATTTCACACCGTTCTCGCCGAGACGAGATTTCCTCGTCGAGCCGCATGGCGCGAAGAGACGCGTTCTTTTCAGCGACGCGGGAGTCAGTTGAGCCGGATTCCCCGTCGTTCATAATGGAAACAAATTCGCGCTGGCGCGGATTAAAAGCTCGTTTGCGCAAATATAGTGGCGGCGTGACGCACGATTAATTCAGACAGCCTGAGAGTAAAGCGCGTGCGGCCGTCTCGCGCGCATAAATAATGATCCCGCGTCTTCTAATCCCGCCGAGCGTTCAGAATCGCATTCGCGAGCGAATGAATATCCGCCTAGCGTTCACAAAGCGGCGAGATCGGCTGGCAGGGCGATCGCTAATCGTGACAAATACCCACGTCGTTCTTTAACGCCGCTTTATTAATTCGTCTCTTAATGTCGCGGCTATTCGCGACTCCACGGTGAAATCACCGCGCGCGAGCGAGCACTCGTCCCCTCCCCGCCGGCCCTCGGTGGATTTATCCCGATTATTAAAGAGACACATGCTCACAATTGCGCAGCCGGTCGCGTCTCGCGTGACACTCGCGATACAAATGACACGCTAATTAAGATCCGACGTTCTTAGTGAGGCGCGCTAACGATGACGTTGGTAATTAGGATCTACGAGTTATCGCACAATGGACGGGCGATTTTTGTCATCGAAATTGACGGACGTAATTCAACGGGATTTAATTTTCCATTAATTACACCGCGGTCAGCACGAAAATTTGAGCAGGTGTAAAGCGTTTGGGACATGTGAAATGTGTTGAATTTCATACGAAATTTTCTCACCGTGCAACGCCGGGCTTCGATTCGAAATTCGACTATGCGCGGCTGCGGACGACAGAGATAGGTAGAAATCCTCTGGCATTCGGCTCGCGAGATGCGGTAGCCGCTTACGATGTGCGTAAAACGCGGGCACGATCAGAAATTACCGTGGCAATAGCAATCGCCGGTAATGAGCGGCGCACCGCCATCGGGCCTGTAATCTTGTCGTTTATAAACGAAACGTTTGAGCTCTCTTTCTTTGAGCTACGACCGCGCCCCGTCGGGCCGTTTCGAAGGTAGCATTATGCAGTAAGTGATACTTGACCGCTTGCCGATTTATTGGCCGATAAATTGCACGCTATTACCGGGGCGATCGGCGGGGACGATCGTTAAAGGTGGTCGCCGTGGTGAGCAGCGTTTGCCGATTCCGCGTCGGGGGAGGCGATGGGACGAGGGTGTGCTTTTCAATTTCAGCGGAATTCCTCGCGTCGGGAAATTCTCGCGAATCACGGGTGGCACGATAATTGCCGGCCTCGGGAATGATACACGGGGTGTCGTCGGCCGTAATTTTAACGACGATGGACCAATGCAGGTTGTATTATGTGGGTTGCACGCTGTTCGCGCCATTTTGAGGAATAAAACCCCTGCTGTATTATTCGACATGCACGAATTTAGAACGGATGTTTCTATTAAAGACACTAGTACCTTTTAAACAAAAGTACCATAAATTTATAAGGACAATACTTCCAATCCTTTCGCCTTTTTTTCTTTATCTCGTGCTAATGTACTGAGAAAATTATCTGTTATCAATGAGTAACTCGAACTGTCGTTTTCATTTAGAAATTAGTACTCCGAATTTGGAGGTAGTACGCGATACATGGTTAAGCAGTGTATAAACGCTCTTTTAGAGTAGCTTCGGCAAGTTTTTCTGGAATAATTCAGCTACGTTGCGAAGTATAACGTCTGGAGACCTTTGGGGTGGCATTTCTAGGAGCATTACTGACCGAAAGGGTGCCCGCATTAGGATGTATTTAAAATTGCACTCATACACTCATAAACCTAATTAGTTTCGTTAATTATTATTTTTTCTTTTTTTTTCTTTTATAATTATTGTTTCTCTACTTTTGCGCTTGAGAGGAGTTCTCCCAGAGAGCGTGAATAAATTATCTATTTATTTCTATCTGTCTATCTCTTTCTCTCTCTCACTCTCTGTGTTTAATTGCCGTCCCACGTCTGGTTTATTAAAATGCGCCACGCGGATGTAAATGTTCCCGCTCGACGTGAAGCTGAATTTCGCGACGCTCGTTGTTTTGCGCACTACCGCGTGCGTTTCTCCTTTTTTTCTCCTTCTTTTCACTTTTCTCGCGGCGCGCAGTGCACGTTATAATTTTGCCGCGAACAAGTGTGATAATGTCATAGTCGAACAAGTCCCGCTTGTCAGCTTGTCGCTTTCGGTGCGCTGTCGGCGCACTCTTATTGGTATACCTGTCATGCAAATCGAGAAGGCTTATGCGGCGATCCGTAATAAATGCCGTTTAGTGTTTAAGTACCTGTTTGTATATCTATCGCGCGAATCTTCCGTTTCTTTTCGCTACTGCTTCCCAGAACAGCGGCGTCTCGCAGTGTTGCGTCGCGTTACGGCCGATCGGCCGCACATTTGAAATTTCGACAACGAGCGCTGCAACATTGCGCCGAGGAAGCGCCCGGATTTTTACTATGTAAGCGGATTAAGGAGGCGCGAAAACTGATTTTACAATTATCCAAATTTTTTTATCTGTCGAGCGAGTGCAACATAAATTTTTGCTTCTTGTCAGTTATCGTCTGGATGAACTTATTTTCAGGTTTATTGTTTACTTATTCAATTTATAATATTTATACGCGTTCCACCTCCTTTACTTCTTTTTATTCTGCCGCTTCGAATTATATTGCTTCATATTTTTAATTATTACCATGCGTTACATTTATCTCCTTGTCACACTGCTTATACACGCCTATGTCCCTTTATGTTTATATTTTCTCACATTTTTATCTTCTTACATATATTCAATAAAATACAACAACAACAATAATAATAATAATGTAGTATTGCTCGTTAAAAATCGGCTGAGTTACTACTTCGCCAGTAGTTTTTTACTTGGATAATTATTATTGGTTTTCACACACGAGAATTATGTATTCGCGCGGAAACCTCCGTCAAGATTACGGTCCCGAGTGTCGCGGAAGTGACGCGCGCAATTTTACGTCGCAGGCGATAAAAGTCCGAAGTAATATCTGCCGGTCTCTCTTTTTCCTAAAAGGCATCTCTCGACATCGAGATTCGCGTTTATCGCCGTGCGCATACCGCGCACCGTTCGGCCGCCGTTCCGTTCCAGTTGGGAGCGCCGGTACGCGCGTAGAACGTTTAAGCGTCACTTTTCATGCAAATCGGGGCAATCTCTGTGGTGATCGACGGTAAATCTGCTTTAGAATTTAAGTAGCTGTTTGTACATACTTCGGCGCGTTGCTCACGGCGATTTTACTGCCCGCCGCTGAAAGTGCCCGCTGACGTCGGCGGTGTGCTGTAAAAGGCTGCTTTTACCGCGGTCCATCGCCGTTTTTTTCATCGATACGTGTGTGCAAATATACCGCGTATAAACGGGCACTCGAATGAACAGAGAGAGATAGGTAGAGGGTGGAGGGGGAAGAAAGGAAAAGAGTTGGAAACGAGAAGACAAGTCGCGCATTGCGAACCACTTCTTACTTTTTCATCTTCATGTGAAAATACTACAGGCGTGTGCTATTAAGCACAGTAACATTAACAATATTATCTCGTTTATCAATTTTCTAATGTGACATTTGCTCAAACTCGATTCTGGTGATGACTGTCGCAAGTGGCACAAAGCAAGCCGCAGCGTACAGTCAATCAGCATTGCGGTAAAGAGGCTTCAATATTTCGATATTTCGAAATATTTGATGACACGTCCTTTTTAGGAGGGCACTTACGCGACAGGATCTTCCGTTATTCTCTCTAGTATAGAATATACTGAGAATGTCTTACAATTAGTGGCACAATGGAATAGCTGGATTACACAAGAGCCTGTCGATAGGTTCTAAACATCTTGGATGAGATCTCGCTTAAGGAGATGATACTGCTTAGTTCCTTAATAATTATCGTGAATTTTGCAAAACGCTACATTTTCCGCGATTTTTCTGTTTAATTCGATGCTTTCTACCTGCATACGAACGTTATGTCGATAGCAAAAATATCTTAACTGGGCACAGGAACAAAAAAAGAAGTAAACAAC